TGTATTACTACTGATAAACCAGGTGTGTATTACTACTGATAAACCAGATGTGTATTACTACCGATAAAACAGGTGTGTTTTACCAATAAACCAGGTGTATATTACTGATAAACAACAATTATTACTACCAATAAACCAGGTGTGTAATACTACCAATAAACCAGGTGTGTATTACTACTGATAAAAATCAATTACTACCAATAAACCAGGTGTGTATTACTAATAATGAACCAGCTGTTTATTTCTACCGATAAACCAGGTGTGTATTACTACCGATAAACCAGGTGTGTATTACTACCAATAAAACAGGTGTATATTACTGATAAACAACAATTACTACCAATAAACCAGGTGTGTATTACTACAGATAAACCAGGTGTGTATTGCTACCGATAAAACAGGTGTGTTTTACCAATAAACCAGGTGTGTATTACTACTGATAAACAATTATTACTACCAATAAACCAGGTATGTATTACTACCGATCAAACAGGTGTTTTACACCAGTAAACCAGGTGTGTTTTACCAATAAAGCAGGTGTGTATTTCTACCGATAAACGAGGTTTGTATTATTACCAATAAACCAGGTATGTTTTACTACCAATAAACCAGGTGTGTTTTACTACCTATAAAACAGGTGTATTACTACCAATAAAACAGGTGTATTACTACCAATAAAACAGGTGTATTACTACCAATAAAACAGGTGTATTACTACCAATAAAACAGGTTTATTACTACCAATAAAACAGGTGTATAGTACTACTGCTAAACAACTATTCCTACCATTAAACCAGGTGTGTATTACTACCAATAAACAATGTTTATTACTACTATTAAATTGTGTATATTAATACTGATAAACTGCACATATTACTACCGTTAAAAATGGCACATTTATTAGTGGATAAACTGTGTGTTTAATTACTGATAAACACTGTATCTTTACTAATAAACTAATTGTATTATTAATGATAAACTTTGTTTTATTACTCAAACACTGTATCTTAACTATTAAACAAGGTTTTATTACTGATAAAATGTGTCTATTATGATCAATAGACCCTGTGTATTATTACTGATAAACAGTGTATTCATGAAGGCGAGTATGTTTCAGGGTTCTAAAATCCAAATATTATCTTTATGCACTTCTTCTTTCCCGGATCGCGGGTGTCACTAGTGCCATGTTCAAAGACCATGTTTTTCCTGACTACAGTTTTTTATCTTCTGTTGCTTTTTGATTCATTATTATTTTTGAAGCATTTGTAAATTACATTAAAGTTTAAATTGTGAAAAATATACAGCAAGTAAACAAAGTTTTATCTTATCCTACACTTACACTTATTTATTGTGTTTGTATGGTGGTGTTTTATTACGAGTATTAATCTTAATTATTTTGTAATAAAGTTTGGAAGCACAATTGTTGTTGTTGCCTACCCCAGTTTTTCTTCCCCTTCAGACCAGGAAAACATGCATGTGAAATATGACGTGAACCTTTTCAGATCGTGTGGAACCCCGACAGTTACAGTGTTTACCTCCAGATGTTTGGTGGCTTCCTCGTTGCGTGACATTAAGATGAGTTTGGTACGGATGCTGCGGAAATGCATGTCACTCAGAAGAGTTGCACGCTTCACCGTCGTATCATTTGTAGACTATTTTAAAAACAAAAACAAAAGAAGAGATTTATATTTGCATTTTGATCTGTCGCTAACGTGAAGCTTGAGCTAAAACTGAAACTTTGAGACTCCTCACGTCTTAAAAACAATAATCAAGAAACAAGCTTAAAGAAGAGAAACTGCATTAAAAGTAGCAAAAGGATAAATAAAAGATACAGAACAGTAGTTCAAAGTTTAAAATATAACAGCAGCTAAACACAAAAAGTAGCTTCAGGCTAGCTCAAAGCTAAAAGGTAGCAAAACATTAGCTAAAAACAGCAATATGCTACCTACAAGCTTCACCAGCAAAAGGCTAACTAAAAGTAGCAGAACATTAGCTCAAAGCTTAAAATAGCACAGCAGTTAAACAAAAAGTAGCTAATGGCTAGTTCTAAGCTAAAAGTAGCATAGGAAGGATAAAACTGAGCCAGTTTTCTAAAGAGAACAGTATTTTTGAAGGAACTGAATATTTCCGTGTATTTCTGTAGGGAAAACATTTATAAATAAAGTACCAGTACATTTTTGGAAAAGCATAAAAGCTATAAACCCAGAAGTCATAGCATCAATCAAACCATGTCGTGTTTGTAAATGAGAACTGGTTTTCAAACACGTCACCTGGTAAATTAAAGTTTAAAGAAACTAAATCTCCAAAATGAGTTGAACATTTTGACAACTAAAACAGCACAAAAACACACAACAGATTGAAAACAATAAATAAATCAGCTGAATAAGAAAAAGCAAGGAGACATTAGTGTGAACGCTGATTCCAAAGACTGACGAGATAAAACCATGAACTGTGTCTGGAACATGCAGTTTACACTCCTACACTTGAAACCAGAAGTTTACATACACTATTTAAAAAGACACATGCATTTTTTTCACTCGGTCCGACGTGAAATCAGAATAAACTTTTCCTGTTTTAGGTCAATTAAGATTACAATTTTTTTTTTTTCTATTTTCAAAATGCCAGAATAATGAGAGTGAGAATTTTAATGGCAATTTTTATTACTTTCTTCAAGTCAAAAGTTTAAATAAATACACTTCATTAGTATTTGGTACCACTGCCCTTGTATGCAACAGTATGACTTGGGTCAAACATTTTGGACCTCCTTCCACGAGCTTCTCACAATTTGTTCAAAGCCAAACTGAAAACGTACTTATTTAAAAGTGCTTTTAATGTTTAACTATTAGTAGTTTAGTATTAAGTATTTATTTATTTATTACCTTCTTTTATTCTCGCTGTGTTTTTAATTTGCACTGATTTATTGTGTCCTGCTTTTAATCTTGTTTTGTCTTGTGAAGCACCTTGGTCAATGCAAGGCGTTGTTGGAAGGTGCTATAGAAATAAAGTTTATTATTATTATTATAATAGCTGGCAGGAATTTTGGCCCATTGCTCCCGACATAACTGGTGTAACTGGGCCATGTTTGTAGGCTGCCTTGCTCACACGTGCCTTTTCAGATTTGCCCATAAATTTTTGATAAGATTGAGATCAGGGCTTTGTGACAACCACTCCAAAACATTGACTTTGTTCTCCTTGAGCCACTCTGTAACCAGTTTGGCAGTTTGCTTCAGGTCAATTTCCATCTGAAGACCCATTTGAGGCCAAGCTTCAACTTCCTGGCTGATGTCTTGAGATGTTGCTTCAGTATTTCCACATAATGTTCTTTCCTCATGATGCCATCTATTTTGTGAAGTGCACCAGTCCCTCCTGCAGCAAAACAACCCCACAACATAATGCTGCCACCCCCGTGTTCACAGGCTTTTTCCTCCAAATATAACGATGGTCATTATGGCCAAACAGTTCGATTTTAGTTTTGTCAGACCACAGGACATGTCTCCAGAAACTAAGGTCTTTGTCCCTGTGTGCATTTATTTTGAAGTAATGGCTTCTTCCTGGCAGAGTGGCCTTTCAGCCCATGTCGAAACAGTTTCGCTGTGGATAACGACACTCTTACCAGCTTCAGCCAGCATCTTCACCAGGTCTTGCTTTTGTTCATGGATTAATCTGCACGTTTCAGACCACAGAACGTTCATCTCTGGGATACAGAACCCGCCTCCTTCCTGAGCGGTATGATGGCTGGACATTCCCATCTTGTTTGTACTCGAGTATAATTGTTTGTACAGATGAATGAGGCACCTTCAGGCATCTGGAAATTCCACCCAAGGATGAACCAGACTTGGGCAAGTCCACAACTCTCTTCCTGATATGTTGGCTGATTTCTTTAGACTTTCCCATGATGTTACACAAGGAAGCAGTGTGTTTCAGGTGTTCCTTAAGTTACATCCACAGGTGTCTCTAATTAACTCGGATGTTATCGATAAACCTAACAGAAGCTCCAAAGACATGACATCAAATGTCCCAAATTGTTTATAGTAATCGTAGTGTATTTAAACTTTTGACTTTGAAGAAAGTAATAAAAATTGCCTTAAAAAATTCACTCTCATTATTCTGGCATTTTGCAAATGGAAAAATGTTTAGTAATCCTAACTGACCTAAAACGGGAAAAGTTTATTCTGATTTCACGTCAGTGTGGGGAAAATGCATACGTGTCTTTTTAAACAGTGTATGTAAACTTCTGGTTTCAATTGTATGTTAACATTTTGACAGGTATTTCAGACTTGTTGTATCTGTGCGGCTCTGAACTCAAAATACTAACCAGCACGATGAGTTCGTGTGTTTGGGCGCTGTAGAAGATGCAGTTCGCTCCAATAGCTTTCCTGAAGTCTTTGTGAATGTTGTCATTTGAACATCTGGTAAAAAAATAAATAAAAACCACAAAGTTCATTGTTTATGACAATGAATAAACCCCTCCTGATTCAGAGTAAAGTGTTTGCACATTCCCTTCGGCGAGCGCAGCGTGATGGACTCACATGTCTCTCAGGTCTTCTGGGATGGCGATGGTGACCTTGTGGAACGTGTTTCGAGTCGCGGGGCTGTTGGGGTTGAGAGGCCGGATGCGCTCCGACGTGACGATCTCATTGTACGTGGCGTCACATGCTGCATATTCAATTACATAAAACTGAAAAGAACAGGAAACAGATTGAATAACACGAGAAGAAAGATCAGAACGAGAACATTCATTTACTGGTTTTAGACAAAATGAGGATGAAGCTGAAGAATGTGTGCTCCGCTACCATGACGAAAATAAACAACATCGATGTCCCCTGTCGCCGAGAGATTTGAGAAGTGAATGTTTGTAGTTTTTGAGGTGAGTGTTTTTCTGTACTGGAATTTAACAAGAAATGTAAGTAAACCTAAATGTTTTTGTGCAAGATATTCAAGTGGGTAGGAGTTACTCTGTGGAGAAGAACAGAAGTAGACTGTTTTGTTTTTGTTCTCGTCTGAGGCAGAGCGATGGAGCCGGGAAAGTGGAGGGAGACATTTTATCCTTCAACAGGTGCAGTGGAGCAATCATTTGAAGAAACTACACTTAAAGAAACTTCTTCTTTTGGCTTTTCCCTGTTCAGGGGTCTCCACAGTGAGTCATCCTCCTCCATCTCACTCTGTCCTCACTCCAACTACCTCCATGTCCTCTCTAACTGCATCCATATATCTCCTCTTTGTCTTTTTCCTGGCAGCTGCATTTCTAACATCCTTCTACCAGTATACCCACTGTCCCTCCTCTGGACATGTCCAACCATCTCAGTCTGGTCTCTCTAACTTTATCTCCCAATTGTTCAACCTGTGCTGTACCTCTGATGATCTCATTCCTAATCTTCTCCATCCTTGTCACTTCTAAGGAGAACCTCAACATCTTCATTTCTGCCACTTCCAGTTCTGTCTCCTGTCTTTTTGTCAATGTCTCTGTCTCCAGACCACGCAACACAGCTGGTCTCACCACTGTCTTGTAAACTTTTCCTTTGACCTTTGCTGACACCCTTTTGTCACAAATAACTCCTGAAACTTTTCTCCATCCACTCCATCCTGCCTGGACTCTCTTCTTCACCTCTTTACCACATTCCCCATTTTCCTGGACAGTGGACCCCAGGAACTTGAAGTCCTGCACCTTTGTGACCTCTGCTCCTCGTAGCCTCACTGTTCCACCAGCCCCCCTCTCATTCACACACACGTACTCTGTCTTACTATGGCTGACTTTCATTTCTATTCTTTCAAGTACAAGTAATACAGAAACTAGAAAGCATAATTTTCTCAAATAAAAAGGGGGGTCTGTTTCCATACATATGGTGGTGATCAAGTTACGGGTAGATTTTGACATGGCAACACAATTTTCAATAGTGACCTTTCTTACTACTAGATGTAACCACACACCAAAAAGGAAGTCAGCACCTTGCTTATGTTTACAAATTATCATATCATCATCATAACATGCACACAAGGACTGATGGAGAGTATTTCTAATTCCCCCTCTTCTTTCCACGACGGAGAACAAAAAGAGAATAAGGTGAGAGTGCAGCAGTGAGAACACAGTCCCTGTTTAAAGAAGTGAATTAAAGTCATCAGTCAACGTTGGACCCTCCTGTAGGCTCTTATCACCAGCTTCACATCTCAGTCACACCTCTACATCCTACTGAGCCACTGCTCGACATGTCTTGGAGCGCCTCTCTGCAGTCTCTTCCTGTTCTCTACATCGAGATCAGTACGCCCAGCTGCCAAGTGTTTATAAATCACACACAACCGTGAGCTGGATCTGGCTGCAGACCCACTCAGAAAGGGTTCAGTTCAATTCAGTTTATTTATAAAGCCCAAGTCACAACAGAAGTCATCTCAGGGCACTGAACAGAAACATCCATATATAAAAATTTAACATTATTTATCTGAGGAGCAGACTGTTTTGAATTTAACTCCATCACAGAACTCTCATCTTGAGCAAACATGAAGGAGACAGTGGCAAGGAAAAACTCCCTCATGAGGAAGAAACCTTTAGTACGGTAGCTAGAAATAGTATCAAATGAAAACTATTCAATTTTAACAATTCATTTAAGGAAATTAGGTCAACTTGCCCTCTAGTAGTATAAGTCTAGAGCAGCATAACAATCCAACCCTAACTATAGGATTTATCAAAAAGGAGAGTCTTAAACTGGACAATGTGTCAGCCTCATGGACAGAAACTGGAAGTTGGTTCCACAAGAGAGGAGCCTGATAACTGAAAGATCTTCCTCCCATTCTGCTTTTGGAAACTTCAGGGACCACAAGTAAACCTGCAGTCTGAGAGCGAAGTGCTCTGTTAGGAAAATATGGAACAATAAGATCTGTAATATAAGATGGATCTAGGTTGTTGAGAGCTTTGTAGGTTAGAAGTAAGATCTTGAATTCAATTCTGGGCTTAACAGGGAGCCAATGGAGAGAAGCTAAAGCTGGAGAGAGATGATCTCTCCTACTAACTTCAGTTAAGACTCTGGCAGCAGCATTTTGGATTCACTGAAGACTTTATAAAGTACACTGCGTGGCCAAAAGAAAGTCGCCATCTGGATTTAACTAACCAAATAGGTACGAGCCTCCTATTGGATAATGACTGCATGTGCGATTATCTTTCAGCTGCAACAAGTTATTTAACCCCAACTGGTGCAATGAGTTGATTCTCATTTTGTAAACAACCATGTCAAAGACACATCGCGTGGTCGTGGAAAAGATGTCGATCTGTTTGAAAAGGGTCAAATAATTGGCATCAAGCAGAGAAAACATCTGAGGAGATTGCAGAAACTACTAAAATTGGGTTAACTGTCCAACGCATTATTAAAAACTGGAAGGATAGTGGGGACCCATAGTCTTCGAGGAAAAAATGTGGCCTACTGCACAAGCCTGTGGGGGCAGTCTATGATCTGGGGTTGCTGCTATTGGTCCGGTCTAGGTTCAGCAACAGTATGTGCTCAAAGAATGAAGTCAGCTGACTACCTGAATATACTGAATGACCAGGTTATTCAATCAATGAATTGTTTCTTCCCTGATGGCACGGCATATTCCAAGGTGACAATGCCAGAATTCATCGGGCTTGAATTGTGAAAGAGTGGTTCTGGGAGCATGAGACATCATTTTCACACATGGATTGGCCACCACAGATTCCAGACCTTGACCCCATTGAGAATCTTTGGGATGTATTGGAGAAGGCTTTGTTCAGTGGTCAGAATCTGCCATCATCAATGCAAGATCTTGGTGAAAATTTAATGCAACACTGGATGGAAATAGATCTTGTGACATTGCAGAAGTTTATCAAACAATGCCACAGTGAATGCTGCTGTAATCAAAGCTAAAGACGGTCCAACGAAATATTAGTGTGTGACCTTTTTTTTTTGGTGGCGACTTTTTTTTTTTGGCCAGGCATTGTATTTGGACACCCAGATAATAAACCATTGCAACAGTCCAGTCTAGACGTAACAAATGCATGGACCAGTTTTTCTGCATCATTTTTAGACAAGATGTTTCTAATTTTAGTGATATTACACAGGTGAAGGAAGGTGGTTCTAGCAACGTTTTTAATGTGGGGGTTAAAAAACATGTCCTGATCAAAAATAACACCAAGATTTTTAACATTAGAGCTGGAGGACAGATTAATGTCATCTAAGGAGGGAGAAAGACTGAAAATTTTATTCCTAAGATGCTCAGGACCAAAAACTAAAACCTCAGTCTTGTCTGTGTTCAAAAGCAGAAAATTAAGGTTCATCCAGGTTTTTATGTCTTCAAGACATGCTTGTAGTTTAAGTAGCTGATTGAAGTAGATTGATTGGGTTACTGAATGAAGTGCCTGAGCCAATCGGAACGCTCCTTCACAGCACATGATCAGGCCTGACTCAAGAAGATATTTACTGTCCCACTCTAAAAGTTTAAAGACAGGCAATGATTCCTGGGTGTGCATGTGTTTAATTGTCTGTTCAAAAAATATTTAATCGACCAATGAATATATTTTTTTATGAAACTTTCAGAATGTAATTATTGCACGCAGATCTGATTAGCTTTTGGAGTCAAATTAATTCAAGGTGGCCGACAACTGAGAAACCTCTTGATGGAATGCTTGGCTTCCTTTCTTATTTACCAGTAATCATACTTTCACACATTATTCCCATATTTAATGTTTACTTACAATGATTCACAAATAAATTCTAAACAAAAACCTGACAAATCGCATCCGTTATGGACAGAAATTTAAAAAAGAGCGGCCAATAAAAGGCTGGTACAATCTGCTTCTGCTGACCACAGTTTCCTGATGACCCCTCCTCTACTCGTCTGTTTTTCTGCTGACTCAGTAGTTTTATTAAGCATTAACAAGAACAACCTACTTTCTTTGCTTTTTTTCTCCTCCGCATCATCTTATCTCCCTTAAAGATTAGCCGTTAGCAGCCACTTACCTCACCCTTCATCATCCTGACCCGTGCCAGCCACCACCCACAGGGTTCCTGTTCATTGGCTCTGGAGAAAACCTGCCAGGAGAGTCAACGAGTCCAGTCAGAGACTAATTCCTTCTAATCTGCTGTCCACAGGTTGGACAGGCACAGTGAACGGTCTCTGCTGTAGCTTCTTGTTCATGTGCATCATGGTTTAAAGTTGTAACAACACAATCAACGGTACAAACAAAAGCAATGTTGCAGTAAAACAAAAAAACATGCCTAACAGCAGCAGGAAGTTCCCTCAGGTTAATAATAATCTACATGAGATTGTGGGTTTGTAATTTCAGTTTAGGCTCATCTACAAGTTTTAGTGATGCAAAAAGCAGGTCTCACCTCCACCTCCTCGCCTTCACCAATCTCTTTGTGGTAGTCGGCTGGGGGAGGCAACCGCACATCGCTGAAGGGCAACTGTCTTTCTGGCTGCCAGCTACAGCAGAAGAGAGAAAAAGTAGACACGTTATAACGTTACTGAAGCATCAGCGCAACAGATTTTCACTCGTTACAGTGAGATTATTCTGCCAAAACACAAACGCTCACTGCAGGACAGAGAGAAAAAGAAACTGAAACTGCTGGATAGTTCAAGCTTTCTGCAGAACAGTCAATATCTTCTCTGTTCAGGAGCTAACGGGGCACAACAAGCTAACGGCTAGCCTGAAAGCAACCCAGAGTGGACTGCTGTCAGCTTAAAACACTCGTCTCACAGCGGTTCCTGTGAACGTTGCAACACTTCAGGCGTGTCCAGAGGGCACTCCCAGCAGTTTTATAATATTTCTGCCAAAATAACCTCCTAATGTGAAAATAACAGTGGTCTAAAGGTTCAACAAAGTACAAGAACTGCAGTAGATTTTAAACCTGGAGTTGTTTGATTTTAACAAAATTTTGTTTACAAGTGGACAAGTACTGAGGTACTTCCATCAAACCGGCTTTAAAGACGTCTTTAAGCAGCCTCTGACCGTTCAGAAACCATTACTGGAGCCGACCACGTCCGATAAAGAAGCAAGCTTTCAGAAACAACGCCAGCTTTGCAGAACCCAAACGTAGCCGTTGATGGGGAGCGATGCACATGAAAAGTGTGACAAAGTCTCATTTCAAAAGATATTAAATTAACACAAGCTAGCCATTTTCTTAGTGATCGATCAAATTCTTCAAACTAAATGCAAAGTTGCTGCGTACAATTACGGCTCTGGTGCTACCCTGCTTCGCAGCACAAAGTTCATTCAGAAATCACTCTGAGGGGGTCAGAAGGCGTCCAAGTCCTTCAAGTGTTGAGTGAATGTGCCTCTGTTGTCTGAGTGGAACATTTTTAAAACAACTAGCTACAAAAGTTCACACAGCTTCATGCAGATACTTTTACTTTTAAACCTACACATGGACATTATTTCACAATGTACATTTATTTTTGGCTGAAAAACTAAAATATTGGCCACTCCAGGATCTCCTGAAAGTGCTTCAGCTGTTGTTGCAAATAACCATAAAGTTCTACAGAAATTGTTTTGCAACACAAAACTGATGGTGACGTAAAGGTTTATTCAATAGTGTTTGTGAAAAGTGCTTTAAAGTTTTATAGAGATTGTATTTGTTTCAAGACAGCAGCAATTAACTTTGGTCTTAGCTGCACTCAAACTACCATTAGCTTGTCAGACCTGCTGCTCGTCAACGGGATTTATACAAATTTACGCCATTTACAAAAGGAAAGATGAGACTTTTAGCTTCCTACAGAAACACGTGTCAAAATCTAAAGTTCATTTGGATATAAACTGAACAGTCAGGGGAAATGTTCCTTTTACATGAAGTATAAACCTGAAAGACAAAAAAGTTAAAGCACGAGGAAAACGTCACAAACTTGTTTTAAAATCACTTCTGTACAATCTTAGAGCTAAAACACTCTTTTCCTTCAGACTGAAAATGTTTGGTTTGTCTTTAGGAAACAGAACGTGTTGCATCTCTGCTTTACACCAGCAGCTTGTCCAACACCTCTGAGTGCTCAGAAAAGTAAAAGGAGAAGGAGGGGGCTGGGAACCATCCCAAAAATGAGACAGGCCATCACAGTGCCACCTCTCCCTCTGTGCATTCCTCGGGTCACTATTTTTAGGAGGAAACACACACACACACACACACACACACACACACACACACACACACCGTTTCCACTCTGAGCCATGTAGATGGAGCAGAGTGGCAGTGGTGGGTTCAGGGGTAAAGGAAACGAAGCCACATGTATGGCAGGACAGAAAAAAGCTATTACCGAGATGTGAGCGGACAGCTGCTTGAAGCACAGGTGCCTCAGAAGAAAATTTGAAAAGCTTGGACCAGTCATCAGATTTCCTTCTTACGTTCATGCTCCATCTCCCGTTTGGGAAGCTATTAATCAAGAGGGGTTAAGAGAAAATATAAACTTACTTGTTTTCAAATACGATTGTGAGGGAGTCTTCATGGACGTCTTTGATAAAACCCTGAAAAAACAAACAAACAAAAAACAACGATTCAGTTCTGCAGACACAGACTAGACACACGTGGGGCAGAGTTGTCACACCAATGCTGAGACTGTTACTGAGAAAAGGAGCATCTCGGGCTCTCAGAAGCCCGAGGCGCCACCGTGCTGACACAATCCTCTGGCTGTGAATTGAGTGTAGAAGAAAACGGACTCCCTGACAAGCCCAACGGCCTGGGGGTGTCCCTCTTCCTCACACTGATGCAGCGCACTAAGTCAAATACTGAGCGTCGTTTTTGTGTGGAGGACGGTTGTTTCGTGTTCATGTGTCCACATGCATGTCCGAGACACACGGGCCCTCGCTCTGCTCAGCCACGTGCACAAGCAGCTAATATGAGCAGAGATTACTTTAATGTGTTACTCGACCATTCACAAATCTGTCACATCATGTTATAAAGCTTCACTAACACAACCCCCCCACCCCAGCTCTGCGCTGAGCAGGAAGTGAACGGGGGCTAGAAAAGGGGCGGAGCTTGTCCAGCAGGGTGATACGACCAAATATGGGACAGAGTTTTGGCTGTGGGCACGCTTGGGGCCTGGAAACACCGGGGTGGACTCACCTGCAGGTTAGATGCTGACTGTTTATAGCCAGCTGGATCTGATAAAACCACAACCAACACCAGTCACTGTCTTTTGTCCTCTTGATTAAAAACATGTACCCCACCCCCCAGGGCTCATCCACACAGCTGCATGTGGAGGACAGTGGAGCGTCTCATCATAAACCAAACCATGAATCTAACAAAGAAAACTTTTAAAGTAAATGGTTCAAATGTTGGGTACAATAAAACACAAGCTGAAATGTATTCTACCGTTTTAATCCTTCTTTCGTTTAAACGAGCTCCTGCACGTTAACGGACAGCATGTTGTTGAAACACTCGACTGGATGTTCATTTGTGACTTAATAGAGAAATCTACACCATTAACTTCTCAGTTATTTTGTGTTTTTCCCCATTAAGCTTTATTCACAACAGAGCTGTTTGGGGTTTACACAAAGCGTTCGACGTCCCATTTCTGACAACAAGAAGCTCACAGACACTCTCTGACCAGGAACTTGATTGCTTTTATACAAATGAACGAACGTGGTCTGAAATTTCCCCACCGAGAGACGAAAAAATAAATAAAGATTATTTTATCCTGAAGAAAAATGATCAGGTAAAACGAATGGAATCAAATGATTTTTACAATAACTGGATGAAGATGAACTGTTTCAGCATCACCACTCACTTTATTTGACATCTCTGCTGCAGCTGATTAGACTGAGGTATAAGTACCTCACCAGGCTGTGACTGCTGGACACTATCTGGCAACTCAAAATTGAAAAAAAAACAAATAAATAAATAGACAAAATATCTGTTGCACTGAATTTTGTTTGCGACCACTGAGCCATGCTGCAGTGTTTTGAGTGATCTTTGTCGGTGTAATCTAGTTAATCTTGGCCATGCACATTATTTTTGACTACCTCGATCCTTCTTGTACCTACTTTGCACCCACCGTGGCATCCGCTTCCATATTTATAATTCAATCTGCTAGACTCCTTTTGATGTGAAGTCAGGCCAGTTGGACCAGATGTAGATTTTTATTCATTACTGCCGAGGTTTTTAGACCTGGACGTTTAGGTCTTGGATGTTTTCTGTTAAAAGAGAGCTGCCCTGCAGGTGTCAAACTACAGCTCTGGCTCTCTGGAGTTACAGAAACTAAACTGAGTTTGAGACGCCTGTAATGACTTCAAAATTCAAGTGCAAGCCCCTGTGACTCACAGCAAGAAACTGAGAACTCCTGCAAACATTTTGAGACTTTCAGGAGACTCCCTCCAATTACCACAGCCCAGTGAGCTACTACCCTGATGGACAAAAGTAAATTCATGTTTTAGAGGAATTCACTCACCGAGACCATAAATTCTCTACAAACGTGTAATGAACTAATAAATCAACTAAATAGTACCAACCAACCAAAGGCCGCTACCTGCTGACTAATAGTTAACATACAGGTGGAAGTGACTTTGGCACCTTTATTTTAATCCAGTATAATCTGCCACATGGCCTACCAAGTCAGAGCACAGGCAAACCCATTTCCTAACATTACACGACGATGGAAGTATGCGATCAGAGGCGTCAGGAGAAGGTTCATGACGCCACTTCATCATGAAGTCAGGAGCCACGTGGAGGACATGGCACCAGCGCTGCAACTTCCAGACCAGCAATTGAGACGCACACTTTTTCAGGACGACAAAAACAGTAAACTGACGTCTCTTTTCTGTAAACTCATCCATAAACACAACCTTAACCATCATCTGAAGAGAAACGAGGAGGAGACCGAGTCACGGTGAGGCCGAGGCGATTTCCAAGAGTGAAATCTTTTGACAAAATGTCAGTCTGAGGAGGTAACAGGTGTCAAATATAAAGAACACGACACGTTGACAGTCATGAACACAGACTAATGGAAACGGCTCATCCAGGCCAGTCAAACTGTCACCCTGTAAAACAGAACAACAGGTGAAGCAGCAGCATGAGAGTAAATATAGGATCATCAGTGGCTGAGCAGCTGACATGTCCCACACATGAGCACATGGACACACGCATGTGTCTAATCAGTAAAGTTTAATAAGAAATCATCATTATAGACGTACACTACCATGTGTGACTCACTCCTAAAACCTGTAATCATTGAGTACAAGCTCTACAGACACAGCAAAAGTGTCAACATGAATGAAGTCATCAAGATTAACGATAAGAAGTTAAGTGAATATGAAAGCATCAAAGATTACAAAGAACAGAAACTGAAACTCTAGATTAGGAGTTCCTCCTCATCAGAGCCAGAAGCTGGAGGACTCGGGTTAACGTAAAAATGTTTCCGAGGAGTGTCATGGGCAAACATCACCGCACACTAAACGCAGGAGACGCACATCAGCTGTCTGATTAGCAGCTGTAAACGTTTGCTTTTCATTTTTCAGCCTTTCAGACACGGCTTTCACAAAAAAAGTATGGGGATTGTTTTTAAAAGAGCACACATTCCGACTAACATTAGCCCTCAACGAACAAATGCAGGCCAAGTGTGGTGACAAGTGCAGCTAGCTTCCCTGCTAACTGCAGCTAGCTGCCCGCAGCAGCACCAACCCTGAGCTAACGAAGGCTAAGCTAGCAATCCTCTTAAGAAAGACGGTTTTATTTTGTGTTATGAAACTTTTAACTGGGACGACCAGAAACTACGACTAGAACTAGCTTACCTTGTAGAAGGCCCCGTTCGAGCCGCGAACTTCCACGGCCAGCCCGTCCATGCTGCTGCCCGTCGGTGGTGGATCCCTGCTGCTGGGCTTCCCTATGGCCGTCGTGACTCCCTGCGAGTCCGGTGCCGTTACCAGCCCCAGCTTCGCCGGCCCTTCGCCGCTGTCCGGCAGCTTGTGGATGTCCAGCGTTCCGGGTGGAGGAAGAAGAGGGACAAGAGGTGAAGGGGGTTGGGGGGAGATGGGTGTGAGGGTGTCACAAACCAACGCAACGCAGAGACGCTGCTGTCTCTCTCGGGCAGCCAGTTGGACACTAAAACGAGGGAACCTTTATATTTTTGTTCTTGGAGCTCGCGCGACCTGAACGGAGCGGCCCGGAGCGCGAGGAGAAGATCCAGGCAGCGCGCGGATGAAAGCTGGTGGGTAATTATTATCAACACCCAGATTCCCGTCACTTTTCAGGGAGGCTAGCAGGCTAGGTATCTGATAGCCTGGCTGCGTTTGTTGGTTGTACGTGTGGCGCAGACGCCGCGTTCACTTATTTCACAGAAGTCGTCACCGGGGGGTGGGTTTCTTCAGCCAGTGGGGTAATTTTCGGCGGCGTCTCTTCCCAAAAAAAGCGGTCAAAATATGCACTACCGCCTGACGACCCCTCGCAAACACACGCTGATAGAGTGAATCTGACTTGGATAGGGACTGAATGACCTAGAACACCACACCCCTCGACACAAAGACCCGCCCATCAGATCATTTAGGCTTTATGATTGGCTAAAGGCCTCGACAATCAACTTTTATCGCATTTGATTGGTTGAGCAAATAAGGGCTGGACTATGAGCCTGGCCAGTAAAATATAGGGAATCGCATTCAGTTGGATCTATTGGTTTGTCTTCGTGTCAATTATAATTTTACTCAAACGGAGTGGCTCACATGTTTAACGTTGCCCACTCATTGATGAGAGAGGACCATCAGCTAGTGTGTAAACAGCTCCACAGTCATGGTACTACAGTATATATATGTTTTTTCATTCAACCTTTATTTATACAGGTTAATCCCATTGAGCCTCGGCGACTCATTTACAAGAGAGACCTGATTTCAACAGAGTGATGACAACAGTGGGCTACAAGACAACAATAGACAATCATAAAATATGTGTGCAATTTTCTTTTTAACAAGTTGAAATAAAAGGACAATCAAAAGGAAAAGTAGAGATTGGTTGATAATTTTTCAGTGAGGTGGTGTTGTCACCTCCCTTCAGCAAAGATAAAACAAGCTTTTCCAAGTGTCTGGAATGGAGTTTCGGCTTATGGACAGGTTAAAAATGTGAGACACCAGAACTGCGATGATATGAGCGGCCAGCCTTATGAAATAAGGTGGAAGTTCATCTGTTCCTGCCATTTTTTTTTTTTTTAGAGTCTATACCTTTTAACAGTTCATTTACCTCACTAACTGAGAACAGAGAAAGAGAAAAGGTGTGATTTGCTGAAGATTGACTTATAGGAGATATATGGTTTGTAGAACATTGACTTGTAGGAGAAGTGACTGTTTCCATTAGTAACTGTGTCAAATAAAGAACTAGAAGCAACAAAATGTTTGCTGAAGCAACAAAGTCCATGCTCAGTAATCCAGGTATACAATCCTTCAATTTTCACTCTGGACAGTTTCTTTTTTTTTTTTGTGCTGAAATGTTTCACCTTCCATCCAGAAGGCTTCATCAGTCAAGGAAACACACAACACAAAACTGATTCTTCCCCCAACAGGTTACTCCAAAGTGGAATGACCTGAGTGAAAATTGTTGGATTGTAGACCTGGATTATTGTAATAATAATTTAGTTCCACCACATGTACCACACGGGGTGCGAATGACAAATAAAGAACGTTGAACCTTGAAAAACACAAGATAGTCACACGTTTTGTTCGTGATGTCTTGGCCCACTGGACAATGGCTACCAGGCCCTCTGCAACAGTAGAGAAGAGGCAGTACCAAAGAACCATGTTGCTGTTCCAGCAGGATTAAAAATGAAGAACCACGGCAAGGAAACAGCTGTAAAAAGCAGAAATCGGTTTGTTCTGTAGGTGAAGATGCAGTATATAAAAATACAATATACATAACTGTGGAACCTATGAAATTCATTCATTCAGCCTTTATTCATACAGGTTAATCCATTGAGCCTCGGGGACTCATTCACAAGAGAGACCTGATTTCTTAACAAAGAGCGATGACAACAGTGAATAACAACAACAATAGACAGTCACAAAAGGGGCATACAAAATATTGTTTTTTTACAAATCAAAAAAAAAAAGAAGCAACCAAAAGCACAGTCAAAAGGAAAAAGTAGCGAAAAGAAGAAGAAAGAAAGAAAGAAATGTACATGTGGGAAACAGTAAACACTGTTCGTTGTTTTATTTGTTACCAAATGGTCTGGGACAGTACATGTCAGTACACAGAAATGTTTCTGTGGCTCCTTCTCACAGCACTGTACCTGTACACATCACAACACTGGCAGTACAAAACAAAGATGAGTCCAGAGGACAAATTCACTCTTATTTTTTTTTCCATCAGTTGGAGCGAGGATGACATTTTCTTTCTAAATTCCCTGCACATATAGGGGACTTCTGTTTCCTCATGCATGCTTTTGTCCATCCATCCATCCATCCATCCATGTTAAGTCCAAGAGTGATGTGTAGATGACGCCACAGGCACATGACACAATGTTGTTTGCTTAACGAGGACATCTTCTGGACGCAAGAAATCATGGCAGGCAACCTGAACACAGATTAGAGAGACTCAGGTCCATCCATCCATCCATTTTCTTTACCCGCTTATTCCATTCTGGGTCACGGGGGTCGCCGGTGCCCATGTCCAGCAATCACTGTGCGAGGGGCGGGGTACACCCTGGACGGGTCGCAAGTCCGACCCAGGGACACATAGAGACAAACGAGACAAACAACCAGGACAATTCAGTTACCAGTCAGTCTAACATGCATGTGTTTGGTCTGTGAGAGGAAACTGGAGTACCCGGAGAAAACCCACGCATTCACGGAGAGAACATGCAAACTCCACCCAGAAAGGCCCCTGGACCGGATTTGAACCGGAGCAACCTACTCCTTGAGAGGCGGCAGCTCTATTAACTGCGCCACTGTGCCGCCATGTTAACACCCAATAATTAATAAAGTACTTACTGACAGAAAAAGAGGTGTAGATAAAACGATTAATCCAGTGTGTCAAATACAGACTTGACCTAAATCACTTTAGCAAGGAAGTATAAGTGAACATGTATAATTTAAGTAAAAGTTGTATAAAATTTGTTTAAGATAAGATAAAATAGTAACAGTATTGATCCTGCAGGAAATTGTTGTGCCAGAGTTTCAGTACAAAGGAACATACACAAGGAATCACAACATATACTGTAAATAATAACTGAGAATATAAAAAATAACAGAGAATATAAAAATACCAACAATAAGGTGTACAACAGGTCAGGTGCAGACAGAAACATTAAAGAGTTTATTGTAGTTCAGGATTAATTTTATTGTCCTATGTGCAGAGAGGGGGAGGAGTTGAAAAGTTTGAAGGACTTCCTGTGTTGTTCTGTGGAGCACCTCGGTGGTCTCAGTCTACGACTGAAGGTGCAGCGGCAAGAGTCCAGTGTGTCATGCAGGAGGTGTGATGTGTTGTTCAGGATCTGGAGCAGGTTCCTCAGCATGCTCTGCTCAGACACCTCTGTCAGAGACTGCAGCTCCACTCCCAGAACTGAACCAGCTCTCTTGATGAGTTTATCAAGTCTGTTGTCATCAGCTTTCTTCACCCTGCAGCCCCAACACACCACAGTGTAGAACAGGGGTGGGCAATTATTTTTTCCATGGGGCCACATGAAAAACAGCAAATATTGTGGAGGGCTGGCACAAATGACTTTTTCATTCAACCTTTATTTATACAGGTAAATCCCATTGAGCCTCGAGGACTCATTTACAAGAGAGACCTGATTTCAACTTAACTCAGTACTGCATAATATTATTAGTATTTCATTATTAAAAGCAGTACATAGCACTGTTTTAACAAGCTGGTAAGAGTATTTGTTATGATTAAGCAACGAAAAAGCAAGGTTTCCTTACAAAAAATGTAATTTATTCAATTAAATTTCCCAGTACAATGGTAAACTGTTAACATTTTTATCATTTGTGACGTTATATTAATGATCATTTTCAGTCACATTCACCCCAAAACTCATTTTGAGTTTTATATACTGCTGGAAAAAGTTCTTAGCTTTGTAAATATATCACAATATTGTCTTTGTACTCCAAATATTATGAAACATCATATAATAGTGACCGTCACTGAACTGTGATTTCGAGTCCCGGTTCTTTACGTGCCTACATTTGTAGTCTAAACATCTCATTTGGTGTTTATCAGTTCTTTTTTCTTGTTTAGTGAGAGAAGTTTAGTCTCTGTTGGGCTTTAACGGAAATGTTAAAGTCAGGTTCAAGGTCTGAGGTGGAGATGTGAAGCAAAGCTGACATCATCATTGAGAGAGGATCTATATCTGGATTTGGTTAACTTCATTTGTTTACATATGTATTTTGTAATTCCCCTTACGGGGGCCGGTGAGAGTCAACCAATGGGCCGCATGTGGCCCTGGGGCCATACAACGCCCAGGTCTGGTGTAGAAGAAGACGCTGGAGACCACCGAGTGGTAAAACATCTGCAGCATGGTCCTGCAGATGTTAAAGGACCTGAGTCTCCTCATGAGAAAAAGGTGACTCTGCTCTTTCTTGTAGAGGGTGTTGGTGTTGGCTGTCCAGTCCAGTTTATTGTCTAGTGGACCCCAGGTACTTGTAGCAGTCCACAATGTCCATCTTAGTACTTTTGATGTTGATAGAGTTGATGGTGGGGGGGGGGGGTAGTCTTCTTCCTGTCCACCTGCAGATGGAGAAG